CTGCAGTAGTCAATGTGGCAGAGTGGAAATAATTTTCAGCTCAGAAAACACATGACACAGATGTCATGAAGACTTGAGTGGGAAAGACTTAGAGACTGAAATGGCAAATTGTTGCTTTTGTCTTTTATAACATCTCTGAAACTGCACAGAACAAATGAAGAGATCTAATCTGTTAATGAAATAGTATAAATCTTATTCTGAAATCTGGCTCTTTGGGTAATTTCAGTGTTTTTCTTTTCAAAGTCAAACTATCTCATTCTTTAAGACTACATACTGAGCTCAGAGAAGGATCATTAGTTTCCAGTTCATTTGCACATAAATGCTTACCTTTAGTTTGCTTTTGCTTTTTTTTTTCCTCCCTGAAGATCACAATTTTTTTTGACCTTAAAAGTTTATTGGATAACTGATTTCAAAGGCATTTTTTGACTTTTTATTCCTAATCTGCAATTTATTTTATCTAATGGTGCCAACATAAGAGACTCTCTGTATATCAACTTTGTACCTTTTCAGTGTTCTCTCCTTGAGGTACTTTATGACCTGGGCACCTTACTTGATCAGAAAGATACTGGAAGTTGTAAAACTCACACAAAGCCGGCCTTTGTTATCACCTGAGCATGCGGAAGGGCAATTGCCCTGAGTATGCCATCTCGTGCCTCTATCACATGCTCCTGCGTTTTCTCCACTCGACTTTCCTGGGCCCATTCCCAGATAGAGGATGGAAGAAACCAGAGCAAAATGTGAATGCTGGGGGCTCAGCTGCCAAACATGGAGGTGAGTTGCTGTGTTCTGCGGGTGTATCTGTTACTATGCGTTAGCAAGCTTTTCTCCCAGGTCACACCTGCTTCATTGAGCCCTAAGAGTGTGGCCCTTAGAAGGTCTAGGGCCCAGCCCAATTTGCCCTTGGAGCCAAGCTGACCCAGTTCCCATTGCTCAGAGTCACTGTGATCACATCCCCTACTCTAATGTCCCTCAACACTGGAGAGTATTGGAAAAGAATTAACTGCGTGGTGTTCCCAAATAGCTATCCTATCAATGCTCAGCATTCTTTTTTGAATTAAAATATTTTACAAACATTTTAGAGAAACTATATTGCTTTTTTCCTGATCATGAATTAAGAAATACCCTTAAGTGGAGAATTTGACAAACACTGAAAAGAATAAATAACAAAGCAAGGTCCGTCCGGCATGGTGGCACAGGCCTGTAATCCCAGCAACTCGGGAGGCTGTCAGGAGTATAAGTTCAAGGCCAGCCTGGGCGATTTAATGAGATCTTGTCTCAAAATAAAATGAAAGGAGCTGGGAGTGTAGTTCAGTGCCAGAGCCCTCCCTCCCCCCGCCCCCCAAGTTCAGTCCCCAGCCATGTCATACCATTGCCAATATTTTGAAAAATTATTCATAAATTATTAATTCAGTATTACAGATATTCTTACAATTGGGATGCTATCAAATGTGTTATTATGCATTCTCCTTTTTTCTTCTTAATAATATTTTGTGAATATTTTCCCACATCATTAAAATAGTGTAAAAGACCACATTTGGATGTTTGTGCATGTATATGCAATGCTTTCTTGTGTTTTCTTCCATAATTTAAAATTGCTTATAGAGAACTGTCTCGGATTCCTGCACAACATTATTTTCCTGCTTCCATAAGTCATGTATTTTGATGTCTTCTCCTTAGTTTAGGAATTCTTCAGACCTGTTTATATTTCCTCCATATTTTATTCTTTACATCAAAGTTTCAAAAAGTAATAATGCAGTGCTTATGAGAAATATTTAAAAAATCATCTATTTACCACATAAGAATTTGTTTCCTACAGAAAAGAGGATTCTTTGCTTAAGTATAACTGTCAGAATTATTTGATTTTGAAAATTACAGAAAACAAGTTGTGTTGGTTATGTTTACAGCATAGAATGAAAAATGCAAATTAATAGTAGCTTAAATACTTTATTATTTTTAAAAACTTTTATGAACTTTTTCTCATTTATTTTATCAGGTGAAAAAAAAACCTGTTCAATCTTTGGTATTTGGTATATATAACATCTATTAGAGTCCTTCGCGCTGAGATTTGCCTTCTCCCTCATGACTTCCATTTTCAAGGTTTCAAATGGTTGCTGCTGGTCTCCTCAGTCCACATGCAGGAAGGAGAAGGGAGCAAAATAAATACAGCATGCTCTAGCCACATCAGGAACCTTAAAAAGAGTCTTTCTAGAAGTTCCACGTAGCACACTGCTTAAATTTCGTGTGTCAGAACTCACCCAAGTGCTGAGAGTCTGAGAAGGTAGTAATTTATCACTGAATAAAATTAGGGTTCAACTTCCCATGGAAGAAGGTGCAAAATATTGGGGAGATGATCAGAAAATATATTGCTTTTCAAGGACTGTCTATCACTTCAAGATGCATTTTGGTCCTGCTTATGGCCACATTGTTATGACTTAGGTTTCATTTTTCAGAGATTCTATGGCTCATTCTCTTCCTGGGCTGTTTTACTCTCAGACTGGTTCTCTCTAGGATGGAAGAGATGGATGTTAGCATTCACAGGACAGCAAGAATATTTTCTTCTCAGAAGCCTGAGCAGAGGTTCTTTTTGTCACATTGGCTCAAACTAGACTACTTGCTTATGCCCAAACTAGTCATAGGAACTAGCTAGGTGGAATATAAAGGTTGGTGTATCCCAACCAAGGCTATCCCTGCTTAGAAGTGGGTTTAGCTTCCCTAAAGCACGGATTGACTGGATATGGGAGATGTTATTACTGCACATAAAAATTAGTGCCTTTGCCTAGGGAAACCAGTGTTCACAACAGCTCTTGAAGAAATGACCTCTTTCTATGTAATATGTGTATATGATGCATATGTAGCTATTTCTCCAATTGCTTAATGATCATCCAATGTCATCTTATTTCCTGCTCTGAGTCACATCTGGGACTTTACCCAGCTCCAGTAAATTTTCATTTTATTGCCTATACCATTATCAAACGGGATGGACATATCTTGACTTCTATTTTTGTATAAGGAAAACATCACAGTTCTTTTATCCATTCATCTCATCAACCTCCCTGTACTTCACAATTACTTTCCAGTTATGCCATTATTTTTATAACATTGAGATTGAGAATTATATATTCTGTTCTGCTACATGGGTAAAGTCTTTTTAAATATCCGTAAAATGATTCTGAAAGCTTAAAATTGGAAAATGACATCTAAATCCTTTTGACATTATAAATACTGTTCTCTGAAGTCCCAGATGGTTACCCTTCCCCCTTTCCTATAAAAGACACAAGCCATTGTCACTCAAGTTCCAATGGCTTCTGTTTTCAACCACCACTAAATACCTTTACTGTTTTGTAAATTTTCTAAGACCTTAGATAAACTAATCTCTCTCTCTCTCTCTCTCTTTCTGCCTCCGCCCCACCTTTCTCCTGCCCTTTAGAGACCTTGTTTCCATGGTCATCCAGGCTGAATTAGATCAGGCACTCCTGAGATCAACAGTATGGATATCTTGCATCCAAGAGGTAAATATGGGGCTCAGAAAAGAATTCTGGGCTACAGTGCAAAATGTGGGACCTATTAGCATACAAATGACCAGTAAAGCAAGCATCCAGAATGACACAGAAAGGGGCACTCTACAGAGGGAAAAGAGAAGAGGGAGGGAGGCCTTTGACATTTCAGTGTCAGAGAAGTTGGCAAATGAGACTGAGCTCTTCAAATCTTAGCATCAGGGGATTAAGGAGTTGGGAGAGCAGAGGTGATGTTGAATCTCACACTTGGATCAAGGTTTTTGTTTCGGTATTTCTGACATATGGGTCTCAGACTGTGCTTTGGTACCTATAGTGCTAGACAGCTCCAAATGTTAAGACAGTCTTACACCAAGATAGCTGAATTCTGTTTCTCTCTAATATCCTGGCCACTGTTCCACCTTCTCAGGCAGCAGAAATACAGCCTGTTTGTATTGTTTCCCTCTCCTAAAAGCTCTCCAAATAGTCTGAGACAGTTAAGTGCCCAATACATTTAATGTAATCAACCATTAATGTTGTTTTATATTGTTGTTATTGTTACGTTTTATTTCGTGTTTGCTCACAGCGAGGCAGCCTGAATTCTAATCTTGGCCCCATTTTCTTCTAATCATGCCATCTCAATATCAAGTTCATTAATCCTGTTTGTCCCTTTTAACTTTGTAACATGATAATAATATCTCCTTCACAGAGTTGCTATGAGGCTTACCCGAGATAACATATATAGAGTGTTAGCACATTGACTAGCAAATAGTATGAGCTCAATAAATGTTTGCTGTGTAATATTAAAACAATGTCAATAATAATAATGAGCTCCCTTTGCCACCTATGCTTTCTTATTAACCTTCACAATGTGTTGAAATTGTGGGTGTCCAACCCTCTCCCCTCTAGTTGGCTCTGAATGCTCTGAAAAGAAAGATCCCATCTTCTTATGGTCACATCCCCTAGGATGAAGCACAGGGTTTATTACACAGAAAATAGTGAAATGTTTGTAGAATGAGTACTTGACAAGGGCCCAGCTACCCAGGTTGCCTTTCTTTAAACATGAAATGAATAAATGCTTAAACATCCATTAACCATTCTATTCTGAGCTCCCGTTACTACCCACAGGAGATCCCAGAGGGGACCACGTGTACATATCCTGATATGTCAGTCACACTCACCTTGTCTCTTTCTGCTCTGACCATCTCTGCCTGGAGATGGTCTCTGCTGCCGCTCCTGCCATGAAGTCACCAGTGTTGGCCTGGAGGAGTCTGGTGGGCAAGACCCTAAGACCTGCCTCTCCAGGCCCAAGGACAGGGCCTCCTCCCTGAGTCTGAGGCCTGCTTCGCTGCTTCATTATTTGGGCCCCAGACTCTGAGCCTTTGCTTGTGCCTGGAGTCCTTCTTGAATACTCCTATTGACTTTTGCTTCCCTTTCTCCCTGTATCCTATACCAGTTCAGGGGATCCACTGGGGCCAGAGGTCATTCCTTGTCATTCCACTTTTGTCTCCTTCCCACCATAGCCCTTCCTTTCTCAGGACTTCATTTCCTTGTCAGAGGATAAAATCTTTCAAGTTTTTGAAGGGGGCCTAAGTGTTGTGAGGGAAGAGACGTTGAGTAGTATATATGGAGAAGGGACTTGTTCACATTAACCAAAGCTCGTTAAAATGCCCCATGAAACATATTACTCAAAATGCACCCTAAATATACTTGGCCATTCAGCTTTGATGTATCCTGAATGTGACGGTGGTTACACAGTTCTCTAGAGTTACCAGGACTTACAAACCTGGACACTGAAAACAGTGAATCTCACTATAGATACATTTAAAAATAAATTGTCAAGTTCCTGCAGTGTCAGGATTTTGTCCAGCAGGTCAGTCCCGTGTCTGCCTTGATTTGGCTGCACTTGCTTGGAAGAGCTGACTTGGAAGACTTTGTTTCTTAGTTTGGTTTCCTTCCCAATAAACTAAATATTCATTTATTGGCTTGTCATTGATAACAAAACTTAAATTAGCTAACTGCCTTTGAAATGTAAATAGATTAAACCAAACAATATCAGGAAGACTAGAGTACAAAGACCAACTAGCAGAAAGGGGCTGAGAGGCCTTATCTGCACTGAGATAACACTGCCTTGTCGCTCTTATCTGCCTTGATTCTCTGTTGCTTCTGACAGTGGCTTTCCAGTGCTCAAGCAGCGGGTTAACACAGAGGTTGCCAGACAGCGGGTGATCAGAAACACTCTGTCCTGGATTCATGTGGTCTCGTGCTCTCTTGCTCAATTCTGTTTGCTTCTGTTGGAATGGACCGACACTGGACAACTGTCTCCTAGTTGGAGGCAGCCTGCTGCTTCTCTCCTCTTTCTCTGGCTGCTCATCCACCTCTCACTTGCAGACATATGATGTCACGGCATCTGAACCACCTGTTCTGTTTTACAACCCCTCCTGCCCATAAGTCTATTTCTTCCCAAGCCACACCCTTTTGTAGAAAGCCTTTCACCCACGTGGATGTGGTTTTCTCTGAGGACCCTTGGTTCCTGAGTAACTCTGACCTCCCAGTAAGGAACAGATACTCTGAAGGCAAATGAAGTTGTCCTTGAGTTCATATTTCTATCTGTTTAGACTTTGCTGAGTGTCTACCCTAAGCCACATTCCTCTTGGAGCACACAATTGCTTGCCTCTGATAGCTTCTGTTTTAGAGATGCAGAGAGTAAGGAAGTGAAAATACATCAATGAATTCATGACAGGGTGAGATAAGGGCTGGGAGTGATATTAGTAGAATACACAGACAGAAAATAATGCAGCAGAGGGTAAGTGCCAGGTGAAAATTCCTCTGTAATAAGAGATATTCAGCTTCTTTGCTGAATCAAAAAAGCAAGCGTTTTGCATCTAGGATCCTGAGGCCAGAAAGAGCTGTGTAACCTGAATCTCAGCCTTGCTTAGGCTCAGCAGGAGAGTAGAGGGTTGTGAGCTGGTGAAGGAGGGGAAGCAGGGTTGAGGACATGAGATCTCTGGAGGACAAGGTGAGAACGGTGAGCCACAGGACTGGCTCATTAGATCTGATTTGGGTTTGGGGGAGAGAGAGTTAATCACTCCAGGACATGTTACAAAATAAACAGCCCAGTGTAGTAGGTTTGGCTTAAAAAAAATTGCAAAGATTTTTTCCATTTACTACTTTATTTGGAGGATATTTTGCTAGAAGTTATTTCCTGACATAGAATGATTATCTATAAGGTAGGCTGAGATGCCTGCAAATAATCGTGTACCCATATATGACACAATGTCTTGTTTCAGGATCTTATTTATTCTGTGAAAAAATAAGCCATCCATCCTGACTTTATTATAGGAAATATATTAGCAGTTTGGTTTCTGTTCCCTTGCAGCTGCATTAAAACTCTGTCCAACTGTTTAAATTTTTAGCAGCTCTTAAGTGGATGGAAGGTATGCAGGCTTCAAGCTTGTGAGTTCAAGGAAGCATTAATTTATTTCAGTAATTTAGATTTGGAATTTAATTTCCATCTTCTTTGTTCCTTTCTCTTTGTTCTTTGCCTCCCTCCTTCCA